TTTCTCCCTGTTGGTGTTGGGTCTCTTCCTAGCTTTGGTGAAGGCCCACTTAGGGTATCCACAAGCCTTAAGGGAGTTCTGGATGTGTAACTTTTCCTTCTTGGCCCCTTCTGCCGTTGTGGGCACTTCCTCTGCACTGTGATTCAAAGTTCTGATGACTCCCAGTTTGTCAGTCAGAACTGATGAAGCCTCCTGGATGAGAGGTGAAACGTCTTCGATCTAGAAATCCAAGTCCAGTTGATTTTTTTCTAAGGTTTTTTTCACATCCCATGGGAGTTCCTGGGCTGATTGTTCAGTTGCTGGATGTGGTTTTCCCCAGCCTCACCTGCTGCTTCCTGTCTGTCAGAAAGCTGGTGATCCACTGAAAGGTGGGGACAGGCACAGTGAGCTGGGTCAGTTTATGTCCAATCCATCAGAATAGCAGACAGAGCTCTATAAAAAGCATTCAGTGACACTAAATGTGTACACAATCAAGAATGTGTTAGCTGAAAGCAACGCTACCTATCACTTCCGCTGCTGGGAAAACAACTCTCCTATCCTATCCTACCTATCCTACAGAGGCCTTTTAGCTCACTACCGCACCAATCAGCCTGGAGGCGCATAACAACACAATGGCCAAAACTGCACAACAGCATGAAACAGTCAGGCACACTTTTCACTGTTTCAGCATTTCATGGTCAAGACACAGTGAAATACACTTATAAAGTAATTCACACACAGAGTAGCAGCACATAAAAATCACAGTCAGGCCAGAGCAAGTTTGAGATCAGTCATAATAGTAATAATAATAATAAACTTTATTTATATAGCACTTTACAACTCCAAAGAGCACAAAGTGCTGCACAGTGGAACATATGTATCATCTAAAAACAATCAATCCAAAAACACAGGTGGTACAGTGGGGCAAGGCCATGTATGGCTTTAAAGACAGTCATGAGTGAGTCTATTTTGAGCGGAGTTGGGGGAGAGAAAGAGGATTGAGTTGTGATTAAATATCCCTCTTCTGTAAAGTTAAGGTATGTTTTTGCCTCACACAGGGCATCAAACTGTAGCAGATCTGTCTCAGTTTGGCAAATAAACAATTACCTCGGAGCACCAGTTCCATTAATGATGGAACAACAGAAATTAATTAAATTTTATATGGTTAGCAATTAATTATTTATAACATGAATCAAATTATGAACCAAATTATTAACTTTAAGCCTGAAGGATGAGTTCTTGTCAAAACAGGGACCTTGGCTTTACACTTGGAAGAAAAAGAGAGAGAGCAGACAGAACACAGAATAAATTGATTGAATGAATATTAACTAGTTTGATTAAATTGACCTGATGGACTTATCCATGTGATTATGGTGAGATGGGAATTACGGATTCTTAATAAAAAGCAGAAAAAAAGGAAGGATTATGGAAGTTGATTAGCAGGATTTTTGCCTGAATTAGAGCTAAACAAGCTTGGTTTAGAGGAAAGGACTGGTCTTGGCTGTTCTGGAGTCAGTTGGACCAAGATGATGGATCAGACCTGGGAGGTTCATTTGGTTCAGCTCAGTCTGCGCTGCGGAGTGTCTTCAGAAAACCAATCCCAAAGAGTCCTTGTCATCACTTTGGGACTGTCGCTTGACAATCAGAGCTCGAAATGGTTCATATCACTCTGAGCAGGTCAGTTAATAGGCAGTGTTGCAATCGGTTCTTTTTACCATGCTAACTCTGAGAGACGAGGCAGTCCAAGTAGCTTCAAAACAGTGCTGATTTATTCAATGAACACAGGTAAAAATTAACATTACACGCTCAGGTATCTTGCACCTCCAACATACACGCAGGCAGCTGAAAGATGAAAGGCCCTGAACCCAACAGGCCTATACATTATATCACTTCGGGCTAAAGGCTCAAAACCATTATAAAGCCTCATCCGGTTCTTTCAAACCAGGAACTCCGAGGGACGACTCAGACCACTTGAGTATATAAAAAATATAACCGTGCTGGTTTATTCAAAGAGTCACAGGCAAGCATTAACACTCCAAGTCCAGAGATCTTCCAACCCCAGGCTGCCCAAGCAGCCCGGAAGCAGCAAGACCCCGAACTAAGCATTGCTATACAATATTAATTCTTTCTGGGCTGTCGAACCGTGACGTACCCTGATATGCCAGCTTGGCAGCTGAGCAGCGCAGTAGACAAAACATGAAGAAAATAATGTGTGTGGCTGTTGTTTTCGTGGTGTGTATCTAAAACAATTTGACATAACATTACACATTAAGACAAATATTATGGTTACTTTTACCGTCATAATAACATTCGTCCCTGACTTCAGCCCTTCTCTGCCTTAACTGTCCTTGCATTTAACAGCCTGAGGAAGACATCCTGCTGCACTAAACATCTTCTAATACAACAGATCTCTAATCCATATCTATCTAACTAAGAAATTACCTAACAGGGCTAACCCCATGCTACCAGGAGATGCCAAGCCGTGGCGTCTCCCAGGGACAGCTCTGCAGCTGCCCCGAGCAGTAGCCAAAACATGAGGAAAAATCAATGTGTGAATGTCTGTTGATTACGTGGTGTGTAACTAAAAACATTCTAACACGACCTCTAGTGACATGTCCTAACATTAAACATAAGAAAATATTATGCTATGGCTACAGTTATACACATCATAATAATAATATTAAACATCCTGTATGCTGACAGTCATCCACTTTTTCTATCTAGTTATCCTTGACCATAAGCATCCTGCAGTAACTCATGAAAATGACTAAGCATTTAACAGCCTAAGCTAGACATCCTGTCTACTCTAAACATTCCTAATACAACAAGTATCTGACCAATATCTATCTGACTAAAAATACCTAACAGCAGCCAAGGTGCAGCTGAGTCTCTGATGCTGATTCAGCAGGTCGTTGTTTGCTGATAAACACAGATGGAAGCCTGGGGCGCAGCTTATGAATTGTCTAAAAATACTACAAAAATGAAAA